CGCACTTTATACAAAGATTCTGACATTCACCAATGTTTTCTTATTTGGGATTTGTTCTCTGTAAGAACTGAATCTACTCACACTCAAGAGCACTCTTACACACATTTGAGTGCTGCCAGGTTTGAGCAAAATAACTGGTTATTGCATTTTTTAATGTTCTATAGTTATATAATTATGTAATAATTATAAATAATATTATATTATTTAAATTATGATAGTATTTTTGTCATTTTTAATATTTAAAAAAATAACTTTTGTTATTTTACAAAGCATTATGGTCTTTTAAAATAAATGAATGCTACATTAACACTTAACTGCTTGTTTGTGGCTCACTTCCTGTAGCAGTACCTCCACTTCAGAACTACTACAGTTCCTTTTGCATTTTGATTCCTGTGCTCGTCTTTAGATTTTCGTTTTTGCATTCCCTCGACTTTTCCTTACTGTATCTCGTTTAGAATTATGACTGTGTCTGCACACGACCCTTCAGTCTCACACCCTTTTAAGGGCGTTTTTGGGCGTTTACCTATGCTAATTGAGGCCAACTGGCACACACTTTCAATTTACGGAGAGATTGGCATTCATCAATCTAAGAACACAGGTTCGCACAGTTCTGTGGTTTAAGAGCACGTTCATGAATCTGACAGAGTTTTCTTAACAACAACTTAAGAAAGAATTTAATAAAAAACGTATGAGATATTGGTGAATGAGGCCCATTGTGTGTTTGTATGATTGATGTCTCTCTATGTGATCATATGTGTCATCATGTAGGAAGCCTGTTTGTTCTGTCTGTTCAGGTTGATGACTATGTGAACAGGTTGTGGTTTTAATTAACTGATCTGGTGTTAAATCATCAGCTGTTTCCTACACTTTGATGTGTGTGTAGATGTTTGTGTGTTGGATAGTGCTGCTTCAGTCTTGACTGGGCTGTAGTTGTGTTGGAGTACCTGACAGTGTGTGAACGTCTGAATGTATTTCAACTAAATTAAATTGATTGATCTGGTGAAAGGATCCATTGATAAACTAGTTATGTGACAGGAAACTGATTTTAAAAAAAAAACAAAAAAAACATTAAACTGAATATTTTGTGATTCTGAACAAAAGAAAAATCAGCTTCTCGTCTCTGTGACCGTTTCCTGATCATTTATGGACTAAAACTGATCTACTAAAAAACTCTAAAACTAAAACACCTCAATCAATACAGAGGGTAATGATGAGTTTGAGCTCTGTATTGATCCATATGGTAACTCAGCCTCACACATTCATTCATCCAAACATAAACAACTTTAACAGCTGATTATAAGAAGGACTACTGATGATTACAGAGCATTAAATAGCAAATAAACATAGGGAAAAGTTTTAAACCACTTCCTCATTTCACCAGTCTAAGCCTCGGTGTTAACTGGGCTGACCTGGGACTGGACTGTTTTTTCCGGATCTACGTGGGCCAGGATCACAGAAACCTCTTGATGTAGTGTTAAATATGATGTTTTCGGTCATTTTCACCGTTTTCCCAGTGAACGAGCCGCACCTGAGGCAGCCGTTGTTAAACTCACCGTTGACCTGGCCACGTTTCCTCGCTGAGTGATGTTCTTGCTATGTTTCTCGTTCGCCATGCGGATTCTCTGCTTGGCCACCATCTTGTCTTCTTCTCTGATGTTTTTTCTTCTGCTTCGGATGGTTTTTATTCGGTTGTCGTTTGTTTCTCAGCCTTTGTTTCAGTGTCGCTACCCTTACCTCCGGACGCGGACGGACTGGGAGATCCTCTAACTTGTATACGTACTCAAAAACCAAAAGCCCTGCCCCTGGCCCGCCCCCCACTTCCACCAGGTTCCGTACTCTTCCACATAAAGTTACTGCCTGTTAAAATAAGACTTCCTGTTTACTCTTTCAAATTAAATCCACTGTGATCTCTTTACGTCACCTGATGCTCTTGTTGACACCTTGTTTCTTTTCACTCCTAAATTACTTTGATACTGAATTAGGTAAAATAAACATACGTATTTTTCAATACTTTTGTTGTGTGAAAGATGAAATGAAAGTCAGTGATGTTTTAGAAAATTGAGGGGCTATAATGTTCTATCACTGGATGACTTTATGGGGTTTATTACAATTGTAAAACACAATTATATATTCAATATTTGACACTACTTTAATTCTATCCTTAGTTGTTTTTTTTTAACCTTAAAACTCTTAATATACTTTTACTTAGAAAACGGAAGTTGTTTCACCCTCAGTTATTTTACGTCAAACAGACGCAGCTTTAAACTTTAAATATTTTTCAAAAACGAGATTTGTTTTTTTTTTTTTAATTAAAAACAACATGTGAGATATGTGAATACACGTGATACAGCGGCACCGTTGATATTTAAATATTATTTTAACTTTAAATGTCAAGTTTAAACGACGTGTCTAAAAGAAATAACTCATTGTATGCTGATGTGGCATTGAGAGATCCGCCCCTTGTTACTCGTACGTGTTTCCGGGACACATTTTTTTTTCTTCTTCCGGCACACAATCATGGCGCCCCCAGTCCCGCTGTTAGCAGGTGGGTAATTTAAGTTTTCATTTAACTCTGTATTTGTCTGTGTTTTAAATATTTACACCATGTTACCGGACACCTGCGACTACCGGTTGAAAGTGAAACACCCGCCACTCAACCGTCATTTCCCTCGTTCTTTTAGCTAGAATAAAGATAACGCCAAACATATCGTAAAATCGAATCAATTTTAGGTTGATTTATCTTTGGAAAACACATGTATCCTTAAACAAAACTAACCGAACTGAATTGAAGTCATTAGAGTCTTCTGATTTATTCGGCAAAACAAAATCCACAAGTGACAACCCAAGCAGAATTATAATCTTGTAAAACTGGACCATGCCGTCCCAACTGTCGTATTACCGACTATCTTAGGACGATGACGATGAGCTGGATATAAACAGTCAAAAACCACCATAGTAATGGTTGTTTGAAAGATTACATGTATGCCGGAATAAAGAGTCAGGTACGGGCACAGTAAATGTCTTCAGTGCATTTTTATGTGACCGGCTTGTCGGCCGGTAAGCATGGATTTCATAAATCAATAGATTTCTGAAAGAGATTTGGCTAACATCTTTCAAGGTAAAGAGCAAAGCACTCAGCAACTGTCGGCGACCCTGATAATCTTCTCTTCTTTTAGGTTGAATGAAATTAGTGTAAATTAAGCAAATGCAGTTTTGTTTTTGGCAAATAACGCGTACGCCCTAAAATAAAATTACACACTTCATTCAAACAAGTAGAGTCTCCGGATTATTCATTATAAATAAAAAGTAATAATCCAATATATATTTGTAAATACTATATTTGTTGTTTATTTGACTAGATGAACAGTCACATAAATAAAATCCACAACTTGTTCATGTCCCATAGCAGCATCTATTTTACCAGTCTTGAAAATAATAGTAGTTTGTTTGCTGAATTGTCACTGAAAGTGACACCTATCAGTTCAAATCTGTTTACAGTGTGAGTGTTAAGTGTTTGGCTTTCTAAACATGAAACCCCAAAAAATTAACATTTCCCATCAGATTTGCTCATCATCTTGTCACTATGTTCCACAAAACACAGACACACGGATGTCCTCTGACTTCAACTGATGTCTTTTTATAGCATCAATGTTGTCGTCATCATCATCATCGTCCAGACAGATTTGACCTGTTTTCAGTGTGATGTATAGTCTTCGTTAGTGTCAACGCAGACAGCTCAGGCTGCTGCTGTTCATCTCATGGTGGAAGAGGAGATGAGCACTAACTCAACCACTCCTTAAACCTGGTTCTGGTTCTACTGTGGACCTGTAAAACGGCATGTTCTTCTGATGTGTTATTTACAGACTGAAATTAATGGAAACAGCAGTCAGTCGTCTACCAGAGTTCATTTCCACTTCTCCAGGACTTTGTGGTTAAAGTGTAGTTCTGACAATGATCAGATCCCACTTTCAGACTCAGAGCAGCACTGGCTGGCTCCTCTGAGCCTCAGAGCTCTTTTCAGAAACCTCAGTGAGTCTTACTGTGTCACTGGGTCATGTTCTTTCATGAACACACACACACACACACACACACACACACACACACACACACACACACACACCATTCTGCTGCAGTACCAGATGTGGATCAGTCTGCAGCTGTTACTGTTGGTCTGTCTGTGTTGAAGATATGAAACCTCTGACTGTGTTTTCAGTGCGTGGATCAGATGGTACGTCTCTACTCTGTGGTCCTCCACAGTGTGAGCAGCATGCAGCCTTCACCAGGTAAAACACCTGAGATCATCTCCATCACACAGCCTCATTGTGACCACATGTATCCTCATATGAATTGTGTGTGTGTTCAGGGACTCACGGCTCAGCAGGTGTGTCACCTTCAGCAGAGACGGGACACTGTTTGGCTGGTGCAACGGACAAAGGTAAATCTGAACATCGTAGAAATCTAACCCCTGATTAATTCTCTAGAGTAACCCAGCAGAAAATAAAGAGATGATGATGACAGTAATATTATGTAATGTCACAGAACGTAAAAACGGCGTTGTTTAAGACTTTTAACAGATTTATTTCTCATTACAGTGGAGCAGAGTCACACCTCATCTTTTAATCGTTTACATTAGAAACTGAACTGTCTTTCCTCCTGTCGGTCTGTCTCTCTGTCTCTCTCTGTCTGTCTCTCAGTGTCTCTGTGGTGAGATCTTCAGAGGGCTCCATCTTGTCGACCTTTGACCTCCCTAAGACGGCTCTGCTGGAGTTTTCTCCTCTGAACACTGTGCTGGTCACCTGGCAACCATACAGCAGTAAGACAATGAGACAACCCCAGACAACATGAGACAACTCGAGACAGCTCGAGACAAAGTCAAATTCAGATTAAGCAGACAAGCAGGTTGAGGAGCCAATGACAGATTACATGGAGCTATATTTGATGAGACTGGAAGTGACATCAGATTAAGCAGAACGCTGTAAGAGATGAGGATGACTCATCACAATGACATCTCTCTCTCTCTCTCTCTCTCTCTCTCTCTCTCTCTCTCTCTCTCTCTCTGTCTCTGTGTTACAGAGAGTCAGGACAGTTCTCAGGGTGAAGCGAACCTCCAGCTGTGGGAGCTGCAGAGCGGTCAGCTGATCAAAGCTCTGTATCAGAAGAAGGTTGACTCCTGGTCAGTCTGAACACACTGAGGGAGGGGGGGACTACATGACATCACCAGAAGCAGCTTCAAGTCAGCTTTTATGGCATTTCAATCCTCGGCTTCACCGTTGGTGTTGATGTCATATCTGTGGTGTCAGTGAGGAACAAGTGGAGACATCAGTGGTACACTGTGCTCTGCAGGAGGGAGGCTGCTATGTAAAGTCTTCTCAACCTAAAGATCCTTTATACACAACAACACGGTCTGTCAAACAGGTCTAACACATCTAAGCCTCATTCACCCTCACAGTGACACTGACAGGGCTCCACAACAAATGTACTCATGAAGAGACACAGTTTAGGTTCTGAAACGCTCCCCGTCTGCAGCAGGTCTCAGGTCTCAGTGGGTCTTTGTCTGAAGCAGGTCTTGACCGGTGAACTGAGTCACAGGTGTGTTGGTCCTACAGCTCAACAATTAATCTAAATATTACTGAAATCACAACATGGGCCAGTGTAACATCCTGATGGATGAGGGGCTGCAGGGTGTTCTTAAAGGTCAAATGTGTCTCATCATAAATGAATGTGTGGTTCTACAGATCATTCTCTCCAGATGTGAGTTTACAGACCCAACAAAATCACATCATTGTCACTTTTATATGTTTTCAGTAAAAATGAAAAAAATGACACAAAAATCATTATCATCACAGCCAGTTCTGGTGTGTTTTCATATTGTCACAGACTGGTCTCCGATCAGATTATATTTAAATTCTCTTTCTGCTTTATTTGACCTGACGTCTCTGAGTGAATTACTCAAACGGGAGAAACAAATGTCTTGTTTTTACTTCTGGCAGAGTCGTGTTGTCACTGGCAAACCACAGTCACAGTGAGCTGATGTGCAGCTGTTGTAGAGTAACCATAGAAACCTTTGAGCTCAGTTTCTGCTCTAAACCAATAGACTGACACAAACAGACCATACACTCATCAATTACAACTCATATCTGTTAAAGACTCCTCACCCGTTCCCCGGTGTCTCCATCAAAAACACCTGGTAACCATGGCAACACTTGCACACTCCTTTAAAGTGAGTCTGGCCAAAGTCATGTGTATTGACAGTACAGGAAGATGTGTCTGTGAGTGATCACATGATGAGACCAAATGTTCCAGTGAGTGTTTATTTGTTGGGTGAACAACTATTTCTGACTGGACCTCAACAGCAGGACCGGTCCTGTAGACATGAAGGTGACTCAGTTAGGAGGCATTCACATTTAAAGACTTTCTTCCTCAGCAGAGTGTCCAGTCCTGTTCTCTCAATATTCTTGAGGTTGGGGGGGATGAGAGCAGTCTGACCATGTTGTATGATGATAGAGGCGAGCCAGACACACCCCCATACCTTGGGCAGTCTGAGCCACAGTCGTACAGTCCTGAAACAGACCCCCCACCCCAGCAGCAGCACATGTCCTCTCCATAATGACCACATGTGGTAGGTGATGGTGCTGTGTGGACTGAAGGTGTGTGTCTGTCTGCAGGTGTCCCAGCTGGTCTGATGATGAGAAGATCTCTGTGAGGAGCGTCAACAATGAGCTGCACTTCTATGAGAACAACGACTTCAGTAAGAAACCATATCTGACTGAACACACATCAACACACGTCAACACACTTCAATACAGGTCAACACAAATCAACACACATCAAGACGCATCGGCACACGTCAACACACACATCACATATCATCACACATTGACAGGTCACACATCAAAAGTGTCTCTCTGTCTCCTGTTACTGGTGACATCATTTTGATGAGTCAGAGGAAGTGAAACCTGAGGTCCAGCTTCACTGATGGTGGAATGGTGAGTGTCTCTCATCAGGGTAAGCCTGTCGGTTTTGTTCTCATTACTCTGTTCAGACCTGAAACACTAAAACTAGTGGATTTCAGGCTCCACCCACGACTCAGACGCATTGACGCTTAGAGACCTCTTGATGGCGCTGTGATAACCAAGTTTATTTTTTTTCAAAGTTCTGTCATCAGTTTACTCTCTCAGCTCTGTTTTCTCTGTATCTGGTCTTCTGCCTGGACCCTGATTGTTGCTGCTGTGTTTATAGTTGATTTGTAGCAGGTCTACGGAGAGTCCAGGTGGGCGGGGTTTAGTACAGACCTGAAGCAGCAGTCAGGATGTAGCAGACCACAGTTATCTCTGAGTTCAGACCATCTCGGTGTAAAACCAGAACCTGTGTGTTTCAGACTCCATCGCCAACAAGCTTCACATGCAGAAAGTCTCAGACTTTGCGTTGTCACCTGGAGGTCAGCCCAGCAAGGTGAGGACTCGAAGTCCCTTAACATCACACCCTGTCTGACCTGGATCCATCCCCTCATGTCTGTTTGTCCTCTCCAGGTAGCAGTCTACGTCCCAGGCAGTAAAGGAGCTCCTTCATTTGTGCGTCTGTACCAGTACCCGGTGCTGGGGGGACCAACTGCAGCGCTCGCCAACAAGAGCTTCTTCAAGGCTGACAGAGTCACCATGCAGTGGAACAAGAAAGGTTGAAGGAGTTCAGAGAGACTCCAGTCTGATTTCGTGCTCAGGGTCCAGTTAGTCCAGACTTTGATGAGGTCCTGTTCCCTCTGTTCTGTCTCAGCCTCGGCGGTTCTGGTGACGGCGAGTACTGAGGTGGACAAGACTGGAGCTTCATATTATGGAGAGCAGACGCTGCATTACCTGGCTGTTAATGGAGAGACTGCTCTGGTTCAGCTGCGTGAGTACTGCACTGGGCATACCACTTCCTTTCCTGCTGCTCCCATACTTTTTGTTCTGTTGTTCTGGACTCAGCAGCTGTGAACCAATGTTTTGTCCAGTTCAGCAGTAGAAGAAGAAAACCTCAAGAAGATCAGAAAACCTGATGAATAACCCTTAAATGAGAAAATACACAGGACCAGAGGGAAATGGAGCCCCAGCCAGTCCAGAAACCATAAGGACAGGTCTTTGTATGAACTCATGAGAAAACCTCTCACTGCTGACAAACTCTGTTCTTTTTGTGTCTTTCAGCAAAGAACGGTCCAATCTACGATGTGGCCTGGAGTCCAAACTCTGCAGAGTTCTGTGTGGTCTACGGCTTCATGCCAGCAAAAGCCACCATCTTCAACATTAAATGTGACCCGGTGTTCGACTTCGGAACCGGACCGAGAAATGCCGCCTACTACAGGTGAGACCTCGTTGTTGGGTCTGATACCCTAGTTATGTTACCTGTTGAAGTCACGTCCATTAGATGAAGTCAGGTTCAGCTTTCAGCAGATTCTTTGAGCTTCTTCACAGATTGTTAGTAGCTCAGACCATCCTGTTAGATAATGACCAGTCTGTCCTCAGTCCTCAGGGCCACATACTGGTCCTGGCTGGCTTCGGGAACCTGCGGGGTCAGATGGAGGTCTGGGACGTGAAGAAATACAAACAGGTGAGGAGGAAGAAGAGCAGCAGTGAGTGAACATTTGAATGGTCCAGTTTTCACCTGTAAACATCAGGAGCTACAGCAGTTTGTGGAAATGTTTCAGACTCTGAAGTCATGACACTTTCAAAATAAAGGTGTGTTGTGGTTCATGTACCTGCATGTCAGTGATCTCCTGCTGGTCTGCACAGGGACTCACACCCTCCTCACCACAGGGACATCACTGTCTGCATCATGAGGGTTAGTCTGTGGCCTTTAGACCAGCTGACTCCTCAGACCTGAAGCCAGTCTAACCCCTCCCTGTCGTCTCAGGTGTCCAAACCTCAGGCTCCAGATGCCACACATTTCTGCTGGTCTCCTGACGGTGAGCACGTCATCACGGCAACCTGTTCTCCCCGGCTGCGGGTGAGTAATGGTTATAAGATTTGGCACTACACTGGCTCGGTTCTGCACAAATGGGATGTGGCGGCCGGTTCGGAGCTGTGGGAGGTTCGCTGGCAGCCGTTCCCTGACGGCATCTTCCCCGAGCGTGCCATCAAGTACCAGGCAGCACCCAGCGAGCTGGGGAGCACGCAGGCCCCACCCACACAGGCATACCGCCCACCTGCACTGAGACATCTGCCAGCCACGCCCAGCGCCAAACTGGTGAGGAAAAAACTCTGAACTGGTTCACAGCGTTTATTTTGTTAACTTTATATCACAGATTAGATAAATAAACAAGTTAACAAGCTGAGAAGTTACTTCATGTGTCTCATGTAAGAACCACACCTACCAGTGATCTGAGAGAAGTCATGTACCTGTCTCTCTCTGACCTGTACCTGTCTCTCTGACATGTACCTGTCTGTCAGCATGAGGAGGAGCCCCCTCAGAACATGCGTCCAGGTGTTTCGGGGGAGAAGAGTCTTTCTAAAGCAGCTCTGAAGAATCAGAGGAAACGAGAAGCTAAGAAGGCAGCTAAACAGGTGAACTGATGCACCCACCTGTTCACTCACCTGTTCACTCACCTGTTTACTCACCTGTTCACTCACCTGTTCACTCACCTGTTCACTCAACTGTTCACTCAACTGTTCACTCAACTGTTCATTGGTTAATTGGTTTAATCATCCATCCTCTCTCTGTAGGTCTCATTAATGTGATTAATTAAGGATCATTATTATCACAGCTGACATAGTGAAAGCATGCAGCTCCTTTCTCATCATTTTACTTTGAAAAGGCAAACTTTCACATCATTCTGAAAAGGGCTGGGCATTGCCACTGATTTCCTGAATCGATTTGATTCTGATTCACAAGGTCCCGCTTCGATTTGGTCTCGATTCATTCAGGGATATTTCAGTCAAGTAGCGTTAACGCCATATTTTGGAATTTACTCTCGTTGAAATGGGGCACCAGTCCTCAGGGAGGACAACAATGAATTACTTCATTGCCAAATTGATCAATCTCATATCAGAAGCCATGACTTCTCGATTCAATGGATCTCCAGTCTCTACGTCCAAAGAACACAACAGGACAACAACTGGGTGTAAATGAAGGAGTTTATTAACTAAACTACTATCTACAGAGTAAATGCAAGGTGTAATAATCATAAAGATGAAGATAATAATGAAATGAGCAGTGTGATGAGTTGGCAATTGTGGGAGAGAATATGTTATGGCTATACACTATGACTATACAGCTAATGACACTATATCTACGAATTAGGTTTGATGATTAAATATTGCTATATTTCGACATCAACCCAGTCATGAGCAGAGTGTTAAGACCGGCCTCCTGTGAGTTGCGCTGTAGCTGGAGACCCTCGGCTGGAACCCAGGTGGCTGTGGTTGCTGTGGTAACCCTGGAGACGCGGGGTCTAGGTGGATTCTCCTGGAGGCCGTGTCCCGTTATCACGATGACGGATTCTGCCGGTGTCTCAGCGGTTCAGCTCTGGTGGAGTTTGCCAGGAGTCTTTCCGTCTCGGGCACTCTTGATTTCTGTTCGGCTTCTCTGCAGGCGGTCGTGCAGATGTTATCTGCTGGTGTCTCTTGCGGGTTGATGCTAAATAAACTCTAATGCTCTTCACTCTGGCTGGATAACTTTAGAGGAGACTGGCGTTGACCAGATGACTCTAAAGTTGTCAGAATCTTCAAAAAGGAAAACTTGATGATGATTTAAAAGTTACAAAATTACTCTGAGGCACTTCTGTTGTTTTGGTTCAGTTGGTCTTGACTTGGCTTATAAAAATAAAAGATCGCGCATGTAGACAAAAATCATGTTACTTGTAGCTTGTGGCAAAGAAAAATAAAAGACGCGAAAAGTGCAAAAATGACTAAGAGCCATGAGTTTGTGGCGAGCAGCTTAGAGCTAAGAGTTTACATGGCTACAGAGCCGGGCTTTGAGCCAGGACTCTGAGCTTTGAGCAAAGATCTCAGCTTCTAGATTCTGCATCGTTTTCTCGCTTCAGCTTTTCACCCTCTAGCTTTTAGCTTCTTAGCATCTCACCGAGTTTCCAACTTTTTCACGTTTCTAACATTTCTGACTTCTTCTCGCCTTCCTGGCTTTTTTTCTTTTTTTGTGAATTGATCAGGACTGTTTTATCCCCTGGGTGCTGGCGCATGTTTCAGGGGCGTCACTCGTCTCCTGTGTTTCCACTTGGAGAAGAGAGTAATTTTCCACTGAACTTTGGAATCATTTAATTCTAGAGTTTACTTATAAACTCGCACATCCGTCTTCCACCATGACCACAAAACATTAAATGAAATAACATATAAAACTACTTGCACTAATAATGGCAGAGAGGAGTAATAGGAGTGTTGATTTCATATTACATCCTTCAAACCTGGAATTAATCATGATACAAGTGGTTAATTGATCAAACAACAATATAAACATTTCCCAAAGCTAATAGTCTATAAATGTGGATTACACAGCAGTTCTTTGACTGTAATAATAATAATATGGACATTCTGGATGTCATGTAGTGTGTGTTACCTCGTGTGAAGGATGCTGACAGTATGGTCACATGAAGGACATTGTCTTAAAATCTACATGTTACATTTCAAACATTCTATGGGATAGAAGTTTGGGATTAAACTATTGCATAGGAACATCTCATGAGTTACAGAACAGCTAGATATTTAATTTTACATTCTTCCTCAGATCTGTGTCTGTGAAGAGAGTTCTGCTGGTCACTACCCAGGATTGGAATGTGGGTCGTAGTTTATGACTCTTATCTAGAGAGGGACAGAGGAAGGGAGGTTGGTGTGTGTGTGTGTGTGTGTGTGTGTGTTCATGCATGGCACAGAGAGGCCAGGATTCACACCTTAGTGTTAATCAGTCCTTTTGTTGTTACTTGTCCTCTATAAGAAACAGTCAAATATCATTAGACAGAGTCTTATTTTTACAAACTGGAGATTTTGCCTATATTCTCCAGTTGCCTGGTGTCCATTGGTTGATCCTCTGGAGCTGACCCTTTGACCTTTGGTCTGGTTCTGTGTCTCTCTGACATGCTAACAGCATGAACTGTTTGTGAGAGAAGGGTCCTTTGTCTCTGTTTCCTATCAATGTGATAGTTTGATGATGGGAAGAGTCGCAAAGTGTCAATTGTGGGTCTGTAACTCTGCATGTCCTCATAATGAACTTCTTCAATGGCTTGTGACTGGTGCCAGGCCAGGTATGTACGCTACAGTTACAACATGCGTTTTTTTGAATATGAATGAGATTCTCAGAGAACTAAGGCTGTAAAGCGTTCCTCTAACCAGGTGCATTATTAAAAACAATGTTGACATTATGGATGGACACAAAGCAGTTACATGAATGCACTTTCTATTTATACCTTAAATGTCAATATGACAACTTTGACCATTTGATTTGTTTTTATTAGCTCTCTACATAACAAATGCTTAAGTGATCGGATGTTCAAGCACAGTAGAATCATTTCAACCGGATTCCGCAAATTGCAGATATTTTATTTCATCACTTGGAGAAAAAAAGTGGCAGAGCGTTGTTCCAGTTGCTCCAGCAGTTCTACACCTTCTCCCATGACCAGAGCTTGTTGTGACAGCTTCACACATCCACAGGAGAGTGTAAAAGACGTATATTAAAGGATCGATCTCTGGTTTTATGAGTCAATATCGGATTATTCAAACGAAGATAGATTTTAATCGGAAAATCTATTTTATTTCAACCCAGACCTAATTCTGACTCACAGTCAACTGTTTTGTTTCCCTCTTCATCCTCTTGTTTCCTGAGAGCACGGTCCTGTGTTCATCAGATGTATTCATGTGTTCATCAGTTATATTCACGTGTTCATCAGATGTATTCATGTGTTCATCAGTTATATTCACGTGTTCATCAGATATATTCACGTGTTCATCAGATATATTCATGTGTTCATCAGTTATATTCACGTGTTCATCAGATATATTCACGTGTTCATCAGTTATATTCACGTGTTCATCAGATATATTCATGTGTTCATCAGTTATATTCACGTGTTCATCAGATATATTCATGTGTTCATCAGTTATATTCACGTGTTCATCAGATGTATTCATGTGTTCATCAGTTATATTCACGTGTTCATCAGATATATTCACGTGTTCATCAGTTATATTCACGTGTTCATCAGATATATTCATGTGTTCATCAGTTATATTCATGAAATGCTCTGTACACGGCCTGGTCTCTGACTTTTTTTTGGTTCTGCAGGAATCAAAGTCTGAACATGAGCCTCCATCTGACCCCGCCCCCGTCACCAACAGCCAATCAGAACCAACCAGCGGTGACCCGGAGATGGACAAGAAGATAAAGAATTTAAAGAAGGTGAAGAGAGAGGTCACATGAACTGTAGTAGAGAGGGGATTGGCTATTAGTGAGGTTTTATTCTACTGTGCTGACTTCAGTGCTGAGGTCACAGGGTGACAGGGGGTCATGTCTGTCATGTGTTTGTGTGTTTCAGAAACTTAAAGCCATTGAGGAGCTGAAGGAGCAGCAAGCATCTGGAAAAGTCCTGCAGAAGAACCAGGTGAGGCAGTTTCTCTGATCTCTGTCTTCTCAGACAGAGACAGTTTATCACAGTGCGCATGTAGAAACTGTTTCAGCTCCTTTACATTTACCTGCCAGCTGCTGTGACAATAATCACATTCTGATTGTTAATGCTCAATATAATCATTAAATCAATGATGTATCTCAGCTCCAACTTTGCATCAGTCATATAATAAACATAATTCTGAATGAGCCGGAATCAGAACTGAACTTTTGGTACTTTACATTTATTTTGATGCTGATACTTTTATAAGTTAAATTAAAAATGCAGTACTTTTACTTTACAATGTGTTTCTACTCTGTGGTTGTAGTACTTAAACACCAGTAAACACCAGAGTACCTATTATTTGTACTGTTTATAGTTGATGTTAAGATGATTTAACTTGATGTAAGTTTGTGTGTGAGGTGGTGTTGATGTTGTAGCTGAGGTGAGCACAACAGAATGATGAATCCACACTAATTTATTTCACTACATTACTGGTCACTGATCAATAGGAAATAAAAAGTGATCAGATCAGACTGCTGCTTTTTTGTGTGAACCTGGACTGACCTGGACTGACCTGGTCTGACCTGGACTATGTTTTCTGCAGCTGGAGAAGATCCAGAAGGAGGACCAGCTGCTAAAGGAGCTGGAGGAGCTGCAGATCGGATAGTAGGGGGTGCTGCTGGAGCTACAGTCTACAACTCCAAGTCCTACAATCCATCACTCATGCACAAACACAGAGGAGGGGTCAGTGCGTGTGTTTCACTGAAGCTGCATCTGTTGCTTTAGTGCTGAAATGTTTTCTGTTTCCTTCACCTGACACCCGAGGACAGGTGAGGAGGGGGCATGGAGTTCTGATACATTTCTATTTGGATCTGCCTGTGATCAATTCATTCCTCTGCCTCTGGAGCTTCTGCAGAGGAATCTCGGAAATGTAGTTCACTAAAAAATGAAATGAACAATTTGTCACCAAATAACTGCTGTGTGTGTGTGTGACTGTTGTGTGGTGTGTGTGTGTGTGTGTGTGTGTGTGTGTGTGTGTGTGTGTGTGTGTGAGATAGAGAGAGAGAGACATTAAATATAAAGCAGGCCACTGAACCCTGTTGCTGTGCAACATCTGTACAGATGCTGAAGCCTTTGACAGTGTTCCTTTCAGAATAAAAGCCTCCCCTCCACTCAGCTGGTCACAGTTGTGTCACTTCAATGATTTCTACATGAAGCCTGTGACACTGATCAGTGTCCACACTGACAGAGTCTGAGAAAGACAATACTCATTCCTGAGAGAAAACTTGATGATTGAATAACACCTGAGAACAGCTCTATAACCCTACTGGTTTGGCCCCTTGATTTTTTGATCAGGAAAATGCCACTCACTTCAAGACAGTACCGCCTTCTGTTTTATTATTAATAACCATCTGTCTCAGTACAACACCCTCTGTTCTTCCCTCTTTCATCTCCAGTACATACCTGTGGCTAAACTGATTCAATCTGGGGGTCCTTCCTGGCCCCCAAGTAAATTGACCCTAGGTGTTATACTATAAGGCCTCTAGTGGAAACTATCTTTTGTTTCTAAACCCTTTTGGTCCCCTTGTTATCTTGTCCGATCACATATCTGTAACCCCAGGTCAACTGCATGTAAATACAGACCATCCCCCTCTTCCTCAACTGTATAAGTGTCCTCCTGTCCTTTACTCTGGGTCAGTCTATTGCCTCAGTCCCGCTCTGTGTCAGTAGGGTCACCGTATTCTGGAATACCAATAAACTCACACCACTACAGCAAACTTGGAACGACTTGAATAAATTTTCTTCTACAAGTCTTAGGTCAAACACCTGGACCACATGACAATAGTTAAACCTCTACAGTTAACAACAGAACACAGACGGAGACAGACAGCTGCTGATAAAATCTGTATTTGATCATGAGCGTCCTGCTGTGTTCTCATAGATTTAAACTGACGGGTCACAGAGAACGTCAGAGAGGTCAAAGGTCGTCACAGCTGCGACCCTCAATGAGCAGCTACAGCAGCGTTGTGTCTGTTTTCGGTGAATATCCAGACACACACTTAAACAGTCACACACTGACACACTAATAGTTACAGCTTAAAGTTAGTTAAAGTTTTTTATTTTAAATGCTTTATTATTCAAAACATTTTCCATTTCGTCTTATAAAAACAAACATTGAAAATGGAGGAAACAAACATAACTTCATAACTTATTTTACTATATAGTAAAATATGAACAGTACATACAAATAAAATAAATACAATAAAAGGAGATAAATGCGACATAAATAACGATGATTAAACAAAAATAAAAGTATTTTATAAGGACAAAAGGAAAATATCTAAGGCTTTACAAGAGTTTACTGTTTTTATTGCTTTATTGTTCTTTAGTGTGTAATGAATCAATATATAACGTCCAATTATTTTGAATATGTATGTGTGGTCTCTTTTCAGTCCATTTGCATTTGCATTTTCCACATAAAATAAAGAGATTCAAAATAGTCTCTTACAGTCAATATCATTCTTATCATAAAAAATGTCTCTCTTTTCTAAACGAATAGTTGAACCAGTCAAGATCTTAAAGAAATATTCTATTTCTAACCAAAACTATTTAATAGGCAGGCACTTACTGTTTTGTAACTGCAAAAAACACATTTTCCTTCTTCAATATCGTCTCTGAGTCTTGAAAGTGCCTGGTTTACATGATAAACCAAGTGTATAATTTTAAACGGAACTTCTCTAATTTTGTTAATGATTCAATGTTTCTTATTAAAATTCCAAAGTTTACACTAACAGTCACACACACTCTGGACACAGTTATAATAAACTCCAGATTCAGTGTGGGCAGACACTTTCGAGATCAAACTGTGTCATCATGGACGTCCTCAGTGTGTCAGTAATTCCGCCTCTACTCCTATTGGGTCGTTCTGCTGCCTGTGGTCTGTCTGTGTGCATTCGTTCTGTTCTCTCGGAGCGGCTGAAGAGAGTGGGCGGGTCCGTCCGGCTATGATCCTCCAAGCCCGGCTCTCTCCGTGAGGTGACGGTGTAGACGTCGAACTAACCCGGTGGACAGAGATACTGAGCTGAGAGGAGAAGTAGCGCTCGTTTGTTAAATTGCTGTGTCTCGTCATCGCTGTTGTGTGTCCGTGTTTCACTGTTTGTTTTGCAAATAATCAGGATAAAACTACAGCCGCACCGCTTTACGTCATGTCGTGGAGCGGAGCGTGGTGAAAACAGCACACGTGTGTTCACAGCAAGGTAAGCTAACATCTGAACTTGGCTGACTGGTCAGGTTAACTGGTTAATTAGTTCACTGACTAAGTAAGTAAGTCAGCGGTTAGTTACAGATAGACAGAGCGGTTAGTTCACTCAGTAGATGTAGAGCTGATGTTTAAGGAGAAGCAGCGACTCATCAGTGTCCTGTTGATGAAGCTGCAGCTGTTAACTCAGTGAACAGCAGTGAACAGTGACTGAAGTACTGATGCCGAGTGTCTGCCTGTGTCCACAGTGAAGCTGATCATCATCATCTATGAAGAGCTGCAGTGTCAGTCACCGCAGCTACACTGGAAACAAGCAGCTCATGAGTTCTCAATATATTTTATTATTATTATTATAATTTTGAACAACCAGTGAAATTCCATTTATAGACCATGAGCAGCAGAACACAGGTGTGTGGTCTGTGACCACTGTGAACATTAGTAGGGTTATTATCACACCTGTGTGATGAAGACAGGTAGCCTTGGCAGATAATATCAACTCAAAAATCTTTGTTTCTGAGCTTTCAGCTGCAGCTCATGGTCTTCTTCATACTACCACAGAACAGCTTAGTTTACAGTGAACATACAGTACATGGTGACAGGTATGTTTCTTCGGCAGGTCTCATCCCATCACTTAAATATGACCTTTTGATCATGTGACCACAGGTGGTTGTGTCTGTTTCTGACAAGCTTGGAAGGAGCAAGGAGATGGGGGCTACAACTAATACACTGCTAAAAAAAAATTAAGGGAACACTTAAATCACACATCGGAATCTTAATGAAGAATTATTCAAGTTGAAAATCTTTACAGATGTACATTGTATAATTTGTTGAGAACAAAATGACGTAACAACGGTCAATGGAAACCAAAATCATCAACCCACTGAGGACTGGATTCACAATCACACCCAAAATCAAAGTACAAAATTGAAATCACAGGCTGAGCCAACCTGCGTGAATTTCATCACAGCAACTCATAATGTGACTCAGTAGTGTGTATGGCCCCCATGTGCATATATGTGTCTTAGGCGGTACTTGGTGTTGTCAGATGCATGGATACATAACGTCCCATAGGTTCGCAGTTGGATTTAGGTCAGGGGAAGGTGCGGGTCAGTCAAAGGAATCAATGCCTTCGTCATCCAGGGACTGCCTACACACTGGGTCACTGGGCGTTGTCCTGCAGCAGGAGGAGCCCAGGGCCCACTGCACCAGTGTAAGGTCTGACAATCACTCTGAGGATTTCATCCCGGTACCAAACAGCAGTCAGGGTACCGCTGGCTGTGACATGGAGGTCAGTGTGACCCTCCAAACATATGCCTTCCCAGACCATCACTGAGCCACTGCAAACTGCTCATGCTGGATGATGTTCCTAAAAGGACAGATTGATATCCCTGAAATTTAAGTGACTTGGTGTTATACTGTGATGATTAAGTGTTCCCCTAATTTTTTTTAGTAGTGTATTTATTAATTATTGATTAATTGATACATTTTTTCATCCAGAAAAAGTCAGAATAAAATCCCTCTTGGACTTTACCTCATCCATCACTCCGAATATTTCCAGTTCATCATCATCATTTAGTTTGACTTGAGATGTGACTAAAACAATTATCAAAATAGTTGATATAGTAATCTTTGGTTGATTGTTGGTCATCCATAGACTAATTGAAAAATAATTGCAGCTCTAATCCACATCCACCACCCGAGAACACCTTTGAACAGGTGAACGTGAGACTGAAAATGGATCTTTGATCTCAGATTATTTTTATCTATTTTATTTAATCAAATCTATTTAATATTAATCTGATTTATGAATGAAAATATTGACCACGTAATGAAAGTCCAAACCAAATCTTTGATGTTTCAGAGTTTTAAAAAATTGTAAAACATTCTAATCTCTGATTGTCATGATTATTAAAGATGTGTAGTGTCAACGTAAAAACTCAGTGTTTCATCACTGAGCTCAGAGTCAGTCATGGTGTTGACTGCTTTGTATTCAGAAGTGTTCCTAATATTCTGACACATGTATGTGAATACTAGAAACAGCTGCAGTACAACAGCAGTGGAGCAAACAGAGACTCACCATCATGGTGAACTGACACAGGTGTGCCTAATAAAGTGGTCCACTGTGTGGCCCAGGTTTATTTTCCTCATCACTAATGTGACGAATTGTTCTCATTCATGGTTTCTTCTATCAAATGTTAAAGTTCTGTTCAGTTTCCTGTAACTGACACAGTTAATGAGTCATAGAAGTAGTTATCGACTAACTGATTAACTCATTGTTTCTACTCTACAGACGGTTACTGATTAGACCCCCAGTGCTAATGAGATGTGACCTAAATTTGTTTCTTTGATTAAACAGTATGATTGATTATTGGTTTATTCTGATCAGTGTCTGATGTTTTACTGCTGCTCGCTGTCCACGGGTTCTGGTGATGGATGAGCCCCCCTGCAGAGAGGAGCCCCCGGCCTGTGAGGAGGAGGAGGACATGTCTCTGTCTAATGTTGTTGGTCTCAGTCTGTGTGACTCTGCCCCCCTGCTGTGGAGGGTGCAGGACCTGAAGACAGTCAGGTTTCAGGGTCTGGTGGGGGCACTGTTAGGTTCACTTCCCCGGACCCCCCGACAGAACGGACGACTGGGAAGACCACTACTCTTGCTGCCAGAGGAGGAGAGACTGCTGAGTGAACACCAGGCTGCTGCTGCTTTACCTGCTAGTAATCAGGTCAGTTGACCTACCATTAACCCGCTGGTAACCAGGTCAGATAAACTAGCGTTGACCAGCTGGTAACCAGGTCAGTTAACCTGCTGGTAAACAGGTGGTTACCACGTTAGTTAACCTGCAAGTAACCAGATTAGTTTACCTGCAGGTGAACGGGTCAATTAACCTACCATTAACCAGATGGTTACCAGGTCAGTTAACCTGCAGGTAAACAGGTCAGTTAACCTTCTAGTAATAAAGTCAGTCACCTGCTGGTGATCAGGTCAGTTAACCTGCTGGTAAACAGGTCAGTTAACCTGCTAGTAACTAGGTCAGTTCACCTGCTGGTGACCAGGTCAGTTAACTTGCTGGTAAACAGGTCAGTTAACTAGCTAGTAACAAGGCCAGTTAATCAGCTGGTAACATGGTTGAACAGCTAACATACATAGAAGTAATCATATAGTTGATTTGTTGTCAGCTGGATGGAGGAGGGTGAGTTTAATTTGGTTGTCGGTTTCACTAGGATGGAGTAGGGGAGGAGATCTGTCAGTGGGTGGAGAAGTACAGGGAGGAGCAGCAGAGGAGTTTTGCGGAGCAGAGTGTCCTCGCTCTTGAGGACAGGAAATCAGCGCTGCTGCAAGCCATGACCTCATCACACACAGGTGAGAGCGTTTCCATAATGACCTTTCACTTGATGCAGGTCAGTAGTCTTGATCCCTGCGGTCTGTACCTGCAGTCTGATGTTCTGGTCCTGGTCCCCTCAGGTTCACATGCTGGACTTGGGACCTCAGCCAAGGCCCTGCAGGGCCGCCTGGAGGCCCTGGACCGGAGCTTTTCCTTCCCTCGATCGGCGATGGCGGTCCAGCTGAGCACGGTGAGGGCCGGGCTTACCTACTGCCCCAAGGACCGTGCCTTTCTGCAAGCTGACTGGCCAATCAGAGCACAGTACAACCCGCATTGTGACATTAGGTACCAGGTGTTTAGAGACCTGAGTGGGCGGGGCTTCTACCTGACCTCAGCAGGGAAGTTTGGGGGAGACTTCCTCGTATATCCAGGTCAGTCTGATTACTCTCAGTTGTTTTTATACAGTTGTAATCTTTTTAAAGAGTCCAACCTCAAACCCTGCAACCAGCCTCGAAAACAGAAACCAGAATCAAAATCTGAGACCAGCCTCAAACCCTGAAACCAGCTTCCTCCAGCCTCAAGCCTTTTGCTCTCTGTAGTTGAGGTTTTATGTTTTGTCTCTTTATCCTGTTTATTCTGATATTTTAGTCCGTCTGTTTGTGGTAATAAACAGGTCTACAGGTCTTGGTTGTGGTTCAGATTTGGTGGACTGTGTATTGGTTGTGGTTCAGATTTGGTGCACTCTCACAGACTGTCTCTCTCTCCCTCTCCAGGTGATCCTCTTCGTTTCCACGCCCACTTCATAGCCGTCTGTTTGTCCCTTGATGAGGCGGTCTCTCTGCTGGACCTCCTCTCTGTGGCTCGTCTGGGATCCAATGTAAAGAAGACGGTCCTGCTCTGCTCGCCGGGGCCAGACGGAGGAGTGCGGTACACCTCGCTGCAGTGGAGTGGTATGGTTTAAAGACTTGAACAGTCTGAGACAGTTCTGAATACAGGGAAACACAGTCCAGGAGCCTCCTCAGGACCCCTGCTAGTCCTCAGAGGGGGTAAAAACTGAGAGCTAAACCCAGAAGACAACCAACAAGCAGGGACTTAAGACTGCTGGAGGGAAAACAATGTTAATATTACAATGATACAGAGGGTAAAACTCTTAAATCCACATGATCCTGTAGAAATTAATGTGTCCACCAGGGGGCAGAGTCACATCACCATAAACATGTTGGGTCCAGAAATAAAGTTCTACCTGAACCACCTCTGAAAACGGACTGTGTTTCTTCTTGATCTGAAGGATTCATGAAGGATTTACTGTACCTCAGACAGACAGGACAGACTGCAGCTCTGTGTCATGTGCACATCTAACAGTCATGATCTAGAACAAGGACTAAACATGTAGGTCTCCGTGGGTCACATTAGGTTCTGTCATATTTCCACAGACGTGGACCAGGTCACTGGTGACCCCCCCCCAGCAGCCCTGAGGGGTTGAAGCTGTGTTGTTGATCACATGGCTCTACAGCTTTCTACTCATATTGGTTATTGATCAAAAGCTGCGTTTCCACCGCAGGAACTTTCCCCAGGAACCGGGAACCTTTTGAGGAACTATGCGCGTTTAAACCGCAGGAACCAGGGTTTAAATTTAATTCCGGGGTAATTGATTAACCCCCCAAAAAGTCCCTGGTCGGGGGGTAGTACTTTCCAAAGGTTCAGGAACTTTGGGGTGTGTGGTCTGTAGTGCTGAACGTTTATGACTGGTTGAGTACTCGCTGCATTTTATTTCACCCGCGATGTAGGCAATCACCGAGCGAGTTCAACATTTTCCACACTGCGAAACAGGTCTGAGAGACAGTAAAAAAAACTGAAACAGGTCGCATATCACATGTAAATTGGGATCAGCACGTATTTGAAAATAAGATGCTGTTTACTGTATTGAATGAATACGCAGTTTGTCCCGTACTTTTCGTTAATGTTATGTTAAAGTGCTGTGAGTAATGTCAAGTAATAATCTTGCATAATCTTCGTAGGACTTAAGGCCGCAGTGGAAACGCAGACAGCAATGGGCCATAGGAACCTTTTAGTTCCAGGTACTTTTTGGTCTAAATTGGCTATAAAAACAGTTAGAGGTGCCGTAACACTACACTTGTGTCAGACACACACTCCCAGTGGTGGGAGTATGTGTCTGACAGAAAAGGATAGTGGATTAAAGAAGCACACAAAGAATCCTAAAAAGACCTGAGCTTATGTGTCTGGTCCTCACCGACGGTCAGCCGGACTGCAGTTCTCAGAGAGCAGCAAGTGGTTCAGACTGAACACCACTGAGTGACTACTGTTTATACAGCAGACCCATACTGGGAACCTGGGGGTCTTCAGCATGCTGCCCACCTACACACATCGCACACAACAAAGACACAACACAATGTTTCCAGTGTTAACATGGTGGTTTCTGTGTCGGCCCCATCCCCTAACAGGACCTGGATCAGGAACTGATTTGGGGGGTGTTTATGTGTGTAAGTTTGTGAGTGTGACATGCATGCACAGGGCAGACCTGGACAGACCTGGACAGACCTGCAGAGACATGGACAGACCTGCACAGACCTGCAGAGCTAGAACAGCAGTAGTTTTCTCTGTAGCTGTGTCGTAGCTGATGCACTCCTGGAGCTGTGGTGGTTTCCTCATGGAGACAAGCAGACCTGTGATTGGTCAGTTTGATGCAGGTGGAAGTTGTTGAGTGAAGACTAGAGACCTGCTCACCAGGATCACTGCTACTGCATACTTCGGATTAGGGTTAAGACTAGGTAAGGGGGTAATAACCATGATGATCAGTTTGATCATCCTTGATCATCCTGATATCTCAACCATAGGTGCTAGAGTAACCAAACTTGGTGTGTAACATTCTTTGGTGATCCCAAAGCAGTGTGCCAAATTCAGCGCCCCTAGCGTCTTCCTTTCATGTACATCCAGTTTGCATAATTGATGATCGTTAGCACATTTCCTTGAATAACTTTTGATAGGAAGGTCGTATCGACTTGGAACCAACTGGATATTTGCAGGGATTCCACATCCAATGGTACCAAGCTCGTCCCTGTGCAATGTCATCCGATCGTGGTTTTTCTTGAATAATTTCCATTGGCGTGGTCATGGGGTCATAATGTTTGGTGGGGGTGAATACACACACACACACACACACACACACACACACACACACACACACACACACACACAAACAAATATATTGACAGAAACACACATACAGCATCTCCACAATTTGGATGAACCTTCAAAATAAAAGTCTCAACATGGTAAGAGGGAATTATTGGCTCTGTTGTACAAAAACTTAAGCAATTTATACTGCAAAACACAGAGGCACAGACACTTTCAAAATAAGAGATAGGTCATAAAAGTTTGATCTTAGAAGCTATCGTTTATATGGCGATATAGTGGTATAGCTTTATTGCAGATCAACTTCTGTTAGGGCATGTACATGTGTGTATACATGTCTTGCTATGGTTGTGGGGACAAATTTAGGTACGAAACCGTTGTGAGGTTATTTTGGCAAGTTGTGACAGCTTCAAAAGGCTTTTTGAGGGACACCTGCAGTGACTGAGGTCAGTGTCAGGATAAGTCTCTACGACATGAATGAAACTGAAAGTAACATCCTTTGTACAGATTGAAACGTGAGGAGTGAAGTACATGCACCAAGGATCAGGCACATTCAAAATTTCTCCAGGAATTTTTTTGTTTATTTATACTATTTAAACTATGGCGCCCCCCAGTGGTGAACCCACATGACACTCAACAGTTCATCCTCTCACTCTGTAGATTCGAGTTTGGTTGTAATTAGCTGTAGCATTTAAGAGCAGGTTAAATTGATTTGAACACACCCACAAACGTTTGTCAACCAATCATGGGAAAATGGTACCTGATATCTCAAATCCAACAAGTGAACCTTATTCAGAGTTTAACTTATTTGTAAGTTAAATAAGTTCAACTCTGAATACGGTCCTCTTGTTTGACATTTTGACCTTACATGGCTGCAAAGTATTCAGATGTGTCTGATTGTTCTTCTTTTGTATTTGTTCATTAAAATGAACATTTTAAAATCTTTACCACACGTTTTACAGATTATCATTTATTCTTTTTTTCATTCTGTAATCTGGGTTCTGAAACTGGAACAAGTTTTATAAAACAACAGCACAAAAATCTGTTAAAATCAGCTGACATCAGATCATAAACAAATTTGACAGAGAACAAGCTGACTAGGAAGAACAGAAGATGATCAGGATCAGTCTTATCTGCAGCCGACCAAAGTGAAGCTTCACCTGAGTGGCAAGAGGCTATTTATGTAACACCATACACACACTTTATCATGTAAACACAGTATAAATGCAGCCGTTTCAAATTTGTACAACTTTTGATGAATTAATGAATTTTATTAAGACTTGATGAATAATGTCCATCAGCAATTCACCAACTCAGAGTGACCGTTTCACTTCATACTAATGAGTTTTCACATCATAAACATTCATGTTTTGGACAAACGTTGACTGAAACATTTTGATCATATTAGATGAGATTCAGAGTCTTGATTTTCAGTAAAATGTTCAAATTGTTCTGGTTCCAGTTCCTGTGAATGTTTCTTTCACACTGATGATTCACCTCCTGAGGGGCCCAGGGAAAAAATCTGTTGTTGTGTTTCTCCAGAAACAGAAACCAGCCAGCGTTCCAAAGCTGAACTGATTAGTTGATTAATCAATTGACAGAAAATTGGCAAAAAATTCAGGTGAATATTTTCTGCTTTTCTCTGACAGTGAACTCAACACAACTGAACCAGACATTAGATCATGTTCATTTCAGGGAATAATGATGTTTTATTCACTGATCAATCAATTAATTATTAAAGAAAAAACCTTGACAGTTCTTCTGTAATGGAATAAAATAGTTTTCTGTCTGTTCATCACTGACACAGAAAAATTCAACAACTGATAAACAATCTGATAAAACTAAACTTGACATCAGGTCTTAAAACAAAATTCTGACACAGTCCCACCACATAACCACAACATTGAGGACCCAACATGAAATGTCTAATTGATCAATGATTAATCAAATTATGTAGACCCAACTGATATAGAGGAAACCTGGGACCTTTGGGGCCCTAAGAGGTCCGGATATTTTTCTTTATTCTGACATTTTACAGACTAAAGGTTTAATCATTATCAGTGCTAGTTGCAGCGTTTGGACTGATCCTCTCACTACGTGACAACAGACCAGATCCAGACCAGGGTCCGTATTCACAAAGCATTTTATCTTACCACAAAGAGCACTCCTGAGACGCACTAAAAGTTTCTTACTAAAGGTTTTCTCCTAAGACCTCTTCACAAAGCTTTTAGTAAGGAAAAGTCAAAACTCCTGGCTGACTTCAGTTCTCATGGACAAACTCACTTGCAGGAACAACAGTGATTGGTTGATGAGAGACCAGTCTGTGCCGGCGCAACATCCCACAGTAATAATAAAAAAAACACTGAGAAATAAACAAATACAAATGAAATAATAACGGATTAGATGCTGTTTATAAAAGTAGTGCATTCTTTTAAATGCATCTGTATGATAATGTCTGTGTCGACCCAGGAAAATAAAATTTTACTATAAAACCAATTCACTCAATGGAAAAATAAAAGAAAAACCTCACCTGTCATAGGCAACCTAACTAAAGCTAACTGGCAGCCTATTCTGTCTGTTGTAGCTGTATGTGTTGTAATGTAGCTGTGGTCCCGGCTGTGGGTTGAGGTGTGAGAAGATTTCCACTGTCCCACCAGGTGACATCCAGCTGGAATATGATCCTTTCAAACAGCTGATCAGGTCACTCTCCACTCAGATCCATGACTTGTGTGTAGATCCTGGACACTGTGATGGTGCAATCATTTTAACATGCATTCCATCTCTGGCACCAATCAAAGCGGGTAGACCGGCAATTGCCATGAAGCTGCTTTATTTCTCTGTATTTGTTGAACATCTAAAGGAAATGGTATGAACTGTCTGATGATGTTGAGTCTACAGACACATTTATTGTTTGGTGAATAGACGGCTGAGAGATCTCCATCTGTCAGCATTGTAAAGTTGCGTTTTCTCTGTTGCCAAGTAGCAGCAGTAACACTTAATTTCCGTGCTGATCGGGTTGTTTCAGTTGGTAAGAGATGTTATTGCATCCTTTACAAACTCCACAACGATCATTTTTCCCTCCTGACTGAGTTGTATCTTCATTCAGTAATTCAGCATCATTTAAGGTTTCCAAAACACCGCGACGTGGAATGACAGCAGCCCTTTAAGGTTCTTTATGATTTGATCTTAGTGAGTTAGGAGTCCTCTCCACTACTTCTAACTTTTCCCAGACTTAGGTGCTACTATTAGCGCTAAGTGGCTTTGTGAATTAGTCTTAGACAGAAAAATGAAGAGTCCTAAAACATGCCCATTACTTTTAGGAGTTTCTCCTAAATCGAGAAGTTAGGAGCTACTTTTAGCCTTAAGATACTTTGTGAATACGAGCCCAGGTTCAGATCCAGTTTGTCTCTTTCTCACAGAGGACACTAGACTTCAGTCTCATGCTGGTCTCACAGATACTTCAGGTTTCCTCAATACATGAGGTCAGCTGCCCCCCCACTCAGGTCCAGCTCTTTGGTTTCCTGGAAGGGAAACTGGAATCCTGCCAGTCTGATCAGCAGGATGTTGAGTCCGTGGAGGAGGAAGATGAGGAAGAAGAGCCAGAAGGATTGGTCGTAGCTCTCACTGTACGTCTGGTAGACGAAGTTGTCCTCGTTAAAATTGGCGATTCGGTCCGAAAGGTGATGGAGCTTCACCTCAGACGCAAACAGGATCATCACTAGAAAGCTGCACAGACCTGCAGGACAGACCAGACGTTACCATAAACCAGCAGCTGCTGTCGGGGCTCATACACAGAGAACATTGGTTTCTTCTTAAAGATAGTTCTGACAGTTTGTCTCATTTCTGGTTCAACATGACAACACTAAACCAGGTCCCAACAAAGACCCAGTCATCACGCATATCTCACCTGTCACTAACATCTCAGCTGGCATCACCTGTCATCATTAACATCTCACCTGTCATGAACGTCTCACCTGTCATCACCTGTCACTAACATCTCACCTGTGAACATCTTTCATCACCTGTCATCATTAACATCTCACCTGTCATCATCTGTCATCACTGATATCTCACCTTTCATCACTTGTCACTAACATCTCACCTGTCATCACCTGTGACACAGGCTGTTTGTCTGCATCTTTAAACTGATTCCAGGGTCAAGAGGGTATTTCATATCCCAGCATGCCACATGACAACATGGGTTTAACCTATTCAAACACACTCTAACCTCCAGGCCCAACAGAGGCACAGATTTGTACCATGACAGCTTGTTAATTAGTTTGAGGTGATGCTGGATTAAATAAGAAGATATTGTCCACTGTCTGTCTGTAAAGACTGATCCCTCCTCAGATGTGTTTATGTCATATCTTCATGTCTTAATGTCTTTAAATCTTCATGTCTTTATGCTGTGAGCTGATCTCAGCTAAGTTTAGGTATATTTCTTTGCAGCAGAATCAAACTTGATCTAACTGTGGAGCTCAGTGCACTTAGTGAACTTAAATCAGATGTACCAGCAGAGAGCTCTTACACTGTCATCACGCCTGTATTTATCAAACTGCTCTGAGACAAGTTCAGGACTGAAGTAAAAGATAAAAGTAAAAATGCTTCAGAGTAAAATCTCTTTTTGTTTATCAAACCAGTTTGCTGTGTCAGATGAAGATGAATCTAAACTGTTTAAAGCAGAAGATCATCATTAGTACCAGGAGTCAGTGACAGACATGTATGAGGTGTTTCTTACAGCAGATGAAGGTCCACAGATAAAGTCCCATGGGGCCTTGTAGTGTTTCATAGGGTCTGCCAAAGGCGTTGAAGAAGAAGAAGCCGGAAGCCACAGAGGAGAAGAGGATCACAACACAACAGAAGAAGATGACGGTGATGTGGATGCCTGCTGGGATTGCACTCAGCAGGTCTGTGAATACTGGTAGAGAGAGAGGAGGAACAAGCAGGTGAGAGGAAACAGTGAACGAGCTGTTGAACCACATACAAATCTCTGGGACCAGTTAACCAGGGATTTATTTTAATGAATAAATACAATTAAACAGACTTTATGAAAAATGGAGCCATGTTTACCTGACAGGACAATTCCTGAACAGTAGAATCAGTGAAAGCCCAAATAAACATATATCATAGTCCTGCAGAAACATGGTCATAAGATGTCAGAACATATGGTGAGACAGTGTGTAGGATCTGTATAGTGTAGCTCTGGGAGGAAGACCAAGAGCACCCCGTACTGTCCATTCTGTGAGAATTCAGTCCACTTCCTCAGTCAGTGTACAGAGGTCACCAAGTTATAATCCTTAGCATTTTAGCAGAGTGGATTAAGACTAATGAGAGATGCTGGTGCTGTGCTAGGCCCCACCAAGCTGTCCAGTGTAACCTTAAGAGGCCTTGCGGTCTTTGCCAGGGGAAGCCATTCGGGTTCTCAACGAAGTCGACATAAGGCCAGCTAAAGAACAGATGCCAAGAATAAACAAACTGTGAACACTGAAATGCTCAGTAGGCCAACAGAGAGCAGTAGAGTCCTACTGAAGGTCCTTTGGGTCCTCATCCATCACAATGATAAGACGCTCAACACTTACGCCATACTGGATGATGAGTCGGAGAGAACAATGTTGCTTCCTGCCACCGCACGGGAGCTGGGTCTGCAGGGCTCGTCCAAAGATCTTACACTACGCACCATCAGGCAGGATGTTCAGACCTTCAGCTGTGCCTCTGTGTCTTTCAGCATCTCCTCCCCAGCTAGGCCAAAGGTCAAATACCGCATAACTGAGGCTCTCACTGCACCCTGCCTCGGCTTAGCCAACCACACCTACACAACTGATGTACTCCAGCAGAAATACAGACATCTCATAGGTCTGCCAATCCCATCTTTTAATGTTCACCCCCTGCTGCTTATTGGTACTGATCATCCCCACCTAGTTACTCCTACTGAAACGATACGGTTTGGCCCTCCAAGTGGGCCAGCTGCAGTGTGGAAAAGATTAGGCTGGGCCCTACAAGGTCCTGTGAAGACCACCTTATCTGCAGCAATGCTTGGTGGCTGCAGTCAAGTCCCCAACCACAGAGCTGTTTCAGTATGTCCAGAAGCTCTGGCAGATTGATACCCTACCATTCCAGTGTGAGAAGATCATAACTCGCTCCCGCCAAGACCAAGTTGCCATCGACCTGTTGGAGACTAAGACCACCTGTGTAGAGGTGGAGGGTGTGCCACATTATGCCCTGCTATGGAAAGGGGACATGGCCCATCTCTCTGTACCCAAGGAAACTGTTATGCCAAGCTTAAGAGGTGATGTTCAATCAAGTTCCCCTCCTCCCTGAAGATTACCCCCTCCTGTGATTTGTGTGGCGTCACATTAACTGCGAGGACCCGACGACAGTGTATGAGTGGCAAGTGCTCCCATTTGGCACCACCTGTAGCCCCTGCTGCACTACGTTTGCCCTGCAGGGACATGTTATCCACCACAGCCAACCAGACGACGCCATCCGGTTTTCTGCAGAGCATACCCACCCCAGAAGAAGCAAAAAGTCTGGTTGACAATCTCAGAGCCCTCCTGGGCTCAGGTGGGTTTGACCTTCGGCAGTGGGCCAGTGTTGTCAACCACCTGCCCAAGGAAGCCAGGTCAGAGAGCTTTGAACTCTGGTTGGCACAAAGTAAGAATGACTCCACTGAGTCATCTCTGGGGCTCAGCTGGTGCTGTGATGAAGATGTCTTGGGATACAAGCAAGTAGACTATGGAGCTGTAACCATGAGGAATGTTTACAAGGTTTTGGCGAGCTAATAAGATCCTTTAGGATTCATCCTGCCCTATGCCACTCAGGGAGAAGATGCTGGTGAGATGCCTCTGGGAAAAGCAACGTGACTGGGATGACTCTATGCTTCCCCCAAACCTCATGCAGGAATGGAAGAACTGGGAGTCCGGGTTACAGGTGCTCCATCACATAACCTTACATCCCCCTTTACATCCCTCCTGAAGTAGACCAGTCCAATATCTACAAAGAGATTCATATCTTTTTGCGACGCCTCAGAGCAGGCATATGGCTCGGTCGCCTATTTGCGAGCAATGGACAGTAATGCGAAAAACTTACCTGTCCTTCCTCCTCGCTCACTCCAGGCGACCAAACTGGGAGAGCCTCTTACAGCTGACCACTACCGAGAGGTGGAGACTCTGATCCTTAAGAGAGCTCAGCAGGACAGCTTTCAGGAAGAGCTCCATCTCCTGAAGCACGGTAAGCCTGTGGCATCTAACAGTAGGTTACTTACCTTAGCACAAGAGTTAGACGAGTCTGGAGATCTCATCCATGTTGGGGGAAGGCTTCGCCAAGCAGAAGACCAAGACCCAGCAATCCAGCACCCAGTTGTATTGGACCCAGCTCACCCGACCACCCGACTTCTAATTAAGCAGTTTGATAGGCAGTTGTGCCATCCCGGTCCAGAACAAGTGTTTGCTGTGATCTGGTGTAAGTAATGGATCCTCTGGGGCTGTGAAGCAGTCTGTAGAATGCAAATCACCTATAACCAATCCTAGCTCTGAACTATTAATCCCATTCTACAACAATGTTGACTTCTTTTAACGAACACCGCCTTTCAGCACTGGCAAAGTGGCCTCTATTAATCCAGATCAGACACCCTTTGGAAAAATGATTAATGTCTTTCAACAATGTGGTCTTCATACTGGTGATGGCTGCTAATGAGATCTGAATCCCTGCCCCTCTGAGTGTTTCTCTAAAATAACTGATAGTCTGGAGTCTCTCAGCTTTTGGGTTAAATCATCCATATGAAATCTAGGAGTCACTGTGGACTAGGTTCTGATTCTGGACCTACATGTTAAATGTCTGATTCACTCAACACTGTAAAGCTCAGGCCCCTTGTGTCTCAGGTGAAGAGGGATATGTTAATCAAGGTTTTTATATCATCCCATCTTGACGACTGCATCTTCCCTGGATCATTTACAAGTGGTCTGGAATACTGCTGCTGGACTCTGGACCAGGTCTCATGTCAAACTGTCTCTAACTGCTCTTCACTGGCTCCCCATCAAATTCAGAATCCGGGGTGCCTCTGTGGCCCTAAAAAAAAACTGTAAAAAAAAAACAACTCAGAGTCCAGTTAAAAGTCCTGGTGATCACCTGTAGAGTTCTAGGTCAGGCTCCCAGCTCCTCATACCTGCAGGTCTCCACAGTCCTCTGATCTGGGTTTGCTGACTGTTCCTAGACTGATGTTTAAAACTAAAGGAGACTGGGGTTTAGAGGTTCTGGTCTCTGCTTCATTCTAAGTGTCCTTTATGGAGGAAATGTCTTATTCAGTGCAGATAACAACAAACAGCAAAGATATGATCACTAATAACAAGCAGAGGATATGATGCTCCAATGACGAGCAGGCGACACATGAACTGTCTCAACTCTCAATGCATGCTGGGAAGTCTGTTAATATGCTAGTTCTGTTTCTTTTGAAAACATCCCATAATGAGCTAAGTAAACTGCCAAGTTCATTCATTCATGTTTATAAATTGTGAAATAAAGTTTGTTAACCTGAGATCTGATGAATTCAGACGAGGTTCACTGAGGAACTGATTCCACTGAGTCCTCAGACAGGAACAGAGCCGCTTTGTTCCCTCATCAGAACTCGTCCAGTCAGATCTGGTCCAGTCAGGCAGAAATCTTGTTAGTGAGGGACGACTGCTCTCATTAAGTGGGACCAGTATTCAATGTGCTCTGCACCAGTGTGCAGCCTCCACAGACCCCAGTAAAAAACAAGAGAGCCTCCCCGAGGAAAGAAAACTGGTTACTGATGAGAACTACACCAGAACTGGGTCCTGACAGTCCTCACAGGACTCCATGAGACTCTGCTGGATCTGGATCAGCTCTTCCTGTCTGAGGACCTGTATGAGGCTCTGAGGGTCTATGTGTGAGTTTGAGTCTGAGAGAAGCAGTGAATGAAGAACAGAACACTCAGTCTGTCAATGCCTTCATTATTGATTAATACCTTCATTATTAATACCTTCATTATTGATTATTACCTTCATTATTGATTAATACTTTCATTATTGATTAATACCGTCATTACTGATTATAACCTACACTGTCATTATTTGTTATTACTTTCATTATTCATTATTACCCTCACTGTCATTATTGATTACGACCTTCACTGTCATTATTGATTATTACCTTCACTATCAAACCACAGTGTAGTACTCTGTGACCAGTAAGAGTGCTGCAGTCAGAGCTGACTAAAAGTAAGAAAGTATCATAACAATGTACTTCAAGTACTAAAGATCAAAGTACTGATTCTGCAAGTGGACTGTGAGAGTCAGGACTGTCATGCCTATTTAAAGCCGTTCTAAATGATTCAGACTGTGCGTGAATAATTGATACAGGTGAGTTCTCACACCTGTTCATCCACCTGCTGCTGAAACATTTTCTACATGAGGACTGAGCTAAGCCGAGAAAAACTCAAACCTTCCGTCACCTCTGCTCCTGGTCTGTCTGTCCGACCTGTAAAACCCGGTTCAGTCCGGTTCGCCTCTGATCAGAAACTCACATGAGAACCTGGACGGTCTCCCTCCCAGTCCGCACTGTTTCACTCTCTGTCCGTGGAAGAGTCCGTAGCTCAGGTCTCCCAGGAACTTGTCCAGCTCGGGTCCGGTGGCATTAACCAGATCGGCCCCGGTCCGGCACAGCACGGTCCCGTTGAGCCAGAACGGCAGACCGGTGGCCACCGCGGCCGTAAGGGCGCAGGAGAAGCCGAAGAGCCCGCAGAGGGAGAAAATGAGTTGCTTCTGTCGGGTCGGCATGGCGGGAAGGATGAAGGCTGGGTCAGGCTTGCAGGAGCCGGGTAACAAGGACCAGAGGAGGGCATCACCCCCT